TTTTTTTTTAAATAACTTTTGAGGAGATATAGGCATGTCCCACGAGTAAGTAATATTTTTTTGCCCCCTTTCATACTCCGACAAGTCCCTTCTATGACAGAATTGGCTAGTAGGAGCTCCTTACAACCGGTTTGCAATTTGGACAGTTCAGAAGTCGTTCATGTAGCCATAGCAACTATATCAAAGAAATAAAAGGTCAAGGGGTGGGACTTGTCAGAATAGGAGCAGGGAAAAAAAACATGCTTAGGCTCTTCACATTCCTGCAACCATTTTCCCGTGATACTCTTTACCCTCTTCTGTTCCAGGCACAGGTGGGGTTTGATCTACGGTCTCCTGTGCTGAATCTTGAGTGGGTGGCTTTTGGGGCGCCTCTGGTTCCTCTTTCCCTTGGGTGTCTCTTTTGGTGGGTGTGCTTTTTCCATTATCAACCTGATCAAAGAAATCTTTCATGGCCTCCTCATACAAATCATAAGGCAACTGTCCGTTCGTGGCAGAATCGATGGCTCTCTTGCGATCGCTCGAGCTGGTGTCGGGGTACTCAGTCAGGAGTTTGGCAGCGAGGAAGGTCGACTCTTCATCCTCATCCACTGCATCATCATCGTAATCATCTTTTCTTTTGCTTGGAGCTTTGTTTATCTCGGACAGGAACAAGCTTCCCCGTCTTCCACTGGGGTTGAAGTACTTTGCCATGGCTGTTTTGTAGGGCCTTTGCTTTAGCAAAGAAAATTGTGTGTTTTTGTTGGCCAGATTCCCTAACCCAAGGACTTTCATGATATCCTCCGTTTTGACATCAGGAGGGATATTGCTCACTGTGACTTCAGGCTGTCGACCGTTGTAATACTTGATGACCCGGCTCTTGAACCTCGGTTGGCTGGGCTTCCTAGCCAGCTGGGTCTCAGGAAGGTGTTGTTGTTTTCTGGTTTCCTCCATGAAGAGCATTCCAACCAGGTCCTCTGGAGGCACCTGGAGCTTCATTGAAATAGCCGACAGCAGTTGTTTGATAGCCCTAGGATCGATTAGAGAGGGTTGGGACAGTAGCCTCCTCCTCCCTTCCATCAGGTCCCGTTTTTGTGCCTGGTTTGTCATCTCCAAGACCTTGAACAGGTAGTAATCCACGAGTTTTGTGTCATCGTCTGGGTTCTCGTCATCGTCTTCAGTAGGGCTAGCTCGTCTTTCAATGGCCTCACCCTGCTCTCCGTTATCTCCTAGCCCTCGTTCGTATTCTTCACGGCTTCCTTTAACTACTTCCTCCGTCTCGAGCTGCTCCTCTAGTGGCACCCATTCCTCCCCTCCGGTCACATCCTCGTATGCCAAGTTTCTAACCTTGTAGAGGTCATCGTCGTCTTCATCATCCTGGTTCTCTCGCTTCTGGTTCTGCACGGCAGACAGTTTACCAAGCTCTTCGAATATAGAGCGCATGTTGGCGAGGCTCTGAGGGGTGTACTGCTCGTCCAAATCCTCAGTCGCACGCTTGCTGTCTCTGCCGTTCTCCTCGTCCTCAAACATCAGCGGATACTTCTTGTGCGGCTTCACGAAGCCCCCGTAGTCTCCAACAGGGCTCTCTGCGTCTGCCCCCGGGCGTCTGCTCTTGTGAGGACGCCGCTCGTTTCCGGGCGCTGGTTGGCTTTCCGGAGTCTCTCCAGCTTGTTCAAGCACCTGCAGCAGAGATCGAACCCACTGTGGCACCTTGTTATCAGGCCAACGGGTGGCGTCCTCACGTGTGGGTGTGTTCTCGTCCTGTAGGGAGGCGAGCTGCACTAGAAAGCGGAATTTGTCCACCTCGTCGTAGTCCCCTGTTGGACTCTCTGGTCCATCGGCTCTCTGCTTCAAGCTTTCGATGTACTCCAGAGCTTTGATCATATCGGAGCTGGGAGCAAGGAAGCCACCCTGGTCTCCGCCTCGCAGACGATGGTGGCGCACGGAGGCACCCTGCACGGTTAGTGTTTGGAGAAGGGTAACGAGCAGGACTGCCACCCCTCTGGCGGACAGTTTCGGTAGTGACAACATCATACCGCCTAGAGATAAACAAGCACAAAACAGTTAACCCATGCAGTCTTTTTATTTATGGTGCAACCCTGATATTTAAAACCAAAATGCATGTAGTGTAGCTAAAATTGTTTAAGTTAAAACTACCCATGAAATCAGTTCTTGGAATTGCTAATATTGTTTCCCAGACCGAGAAGAAGCGACGCTCCGAGCGCCAGAGCAGCAATGAGATCAGTCAGAACACAACATGTTTTTAAATGACAACAGCACCGGATGAGTCACCGCCTGTTGTCAAGGTAACCTTTCACTTGTGGCTACGGATCTCTGAGAACAGATCTATTGATATTTTCACGTATGTTTGTAAGAACAAATCTCGATTTAAAAGATCAGTCTAGCTGGAATACATTTCACTGATCTTTTCGCGACAAAATCGAGTTGATAAACCAGAGATGAGATATGCTGCTGATGAGTGATAGTATCTAATCAAGCAAAGCCAGAAAGAAAAGGAACAAAAGCTCTACTCCTCTTTAACCCTTGCAACGCAGAATAGCGCATACGTTAACACGTTTTCACAAAGCATAATTTTGTGAACTCAAAGAAATGAAAATGAGTCGTCGTACCTTTTGTGTAGAGCTCAGAGAATGTGAATGAGCGTGAACAGCATGTCCTCCGTGTTGCCTCAATGCGCTTCGGTTGTGTTTCAGCACCGGACAGCTCCCCGCGCTATATGAGGCGGCACCTGACCAATGCGTCACCGATGCTCACGCAATACCGAGGCTGTGCATGCATTCGTACCGATGGTAACCATTCACAACGTTTATCTCTGGTTAACTGAACCTCATGCATTAACCTCTTGGTCTATGTTTTAGGTGTGTTTTATTCATAAAGAAGAGGATAGTGCGTTTGGCAAACAACAGAAAGGTATACCTACATTATAAAGGATTTGAACATAGTTTCTGTCTAAATACAGAAACGCTTTTACAATACAGTGAATGTATTATCTAATGTATAATGCAATAAAACTGTTAAATTAGTTTTAGCTGACAATGTTATAAATGAGATGTAAACAAGATGGTAGAATGTTTCTGAAGCTTCCTAAAGTGGAAATACCATATGATTTTTACAATTGTAAAGCTAATTATGCTTCACATTCAGAAAAAAAGATATAAAGCTCTTACTGGGGCGGTACCCTAATGCACAAATGATAAAAGGTACTTCTTTATACCTTATTTACCCCTAAATGTTGCATTGGTACCTCTTAAAATGGTACTGGCATTTGAGAGTGGAAACTATGGTAAATTAAATTGCAAAACATTTCTGTTACAGATACATCAGTTACTTTTAAAATATAATTTAAGTAATGAGGATAACATAGGTGTGCAATGTAAAATGGTTTGTTCGCTGTTTTTCTGTACACACAGGCATCACAGGCGAGTTAAATCGTCAGACGATGAGTCACACACACGCACAAACCCACTGTGGGACTCATCGGGGAGAGCAAGGTCTCAGATAAATATACATCTGCCGTTTGTGGATCTCTTCCACTGTCCCTAGACACCTACAGTCCCGAGCATCTATCCTGCGGTGAGGCCTGTCAGCATCTGAATTATGTGCCCTAGTGACATTAGTGCCAAGATGACACTCATTTGTACTTGATCACTTCTCCTGGAACACAGACAAAACGTCTCTGCGGAGAAACTTTGTTCTTTTGAGTTGTTCTTCAGAAGCGCATAGTTAGAAGTATTTTTAGCTGTACTTTCCAAGTACAAAAAGAAAAGGAAAAAAAGTTTTACTTTGTTTTGCAAAACCACCTAACTTGGGCTTATGTTTGACATGCTTTCCTGGGTATTTAACCCTTGTGCTGTGCTGAATATTCTTTGTCTGATTTGATGTTCCTGATCAAAAATGACTGGCCTTTTTGTTTTTTTATTTAAAATTAAAAAAATCTGCTATAATATCAATGAATCTTGGATTCAGTCTTTTTGTCAGCTTGTTTCTTTCAATCAGAACAGGCTTTGTATTTCTTTTTGGAACTGATTGATCATAAGCCTCATTGATCTTAACGTATGCACCTCAGTTTTTTTAATGGAAAAAAAAAAAATAATTATTTGTCGACCTTTTTGCCAATGAGGTGCATTAGCACTTAAGAAGAGGTGCATAAGCTGCTCAATGAGGCCTAGGATCAATCAGTTCCAAAAATAAATACAGAACCTATGCTAATTGATAAGAAAACCAGCTGAAAAAATTTTGAATCCAATATTTGATGATATGGCATAATTTATAATAATTTTTTGATGGGGAACACAAGTATAATAAAGTGGGGGGAAAATAAAGACAATTACAAAGATGATAAATTTTGTTATACCCGGTGTGAGTCCAATTCGATAACGCTCGACTAGCATTTTTGGGAAAAAGAAAATCTCAAAATGACCAGAACACAACATGAGAGTCAAGTTTCACAAGAACTTTTAGAAAACCATCTGGTGCTTTACAGAACCCAGAAACCAATATGCTGGTCAGAAGAAGATGCAATTTAACATCAGGAACTTATATTAATCTCCGGAGAGCCATAAAAAATGTCCCTACAGCACAGAATCAGAACAGCGCATATATTTCTTCATTAAAAGTGCTCTGCGGTTGGTCGGCATATTGTTTTTAGCACATACGGATTCTGGACTCGTAACCCACAGTCAGCTGACTGCACTCTGGGGAGAGAGGGGTGAGACAGACCCTCCTGACGTTAGTGGAGCAGTCACATGGTCAGATGAGTCATAAGGCTGTGTGTGTACATTATGGGATGTTTCCATGGTTGTGAAACCAAACAATCTTTTCTATTTTTTGCTTCTTGATTCATAAAAAATACATATCTTCTGACTTCCATTAGCAATCAGGAGGAGTTCTAGGTGTTCTCCTGAAAAGCTTTCAAAAACTCCTCCCTGCTTTCTCAGTAAGATTAAAAGGAAATCAATCCACAACCCATTGAGCTTCTCAATTTTCTCCCTTTAACGATATTAGAGCATCCCCTCTGTTGATGTGGTGATTGTTCTTGCAGAGACTGGCTAGTGGATGGGGAAAACAACACTGTAGAGATGACTCTGAAACCCGTCTTGCTGGAGTTGGCTATTAATAGTTGTGGAGGTGTCAGCAGGAGGTTACAGTCATGGGTGCGTGGACTGTGACGGACGATCTGATAGGCCGAGAGACGTGTAGGAGGCTTGACGAGGGATTCTCTTGGTATAAGCAGGATTCTACACATTAATTAGGTCTAATGAGCAAAGCGGGAATGAATGATTTTGTGTTTTCACATGAAACTAAGCTTTTTTTTTAGTCTAGTTCTTTACCTGTTACAAGTAGAGTGGCTAAAATAAGGTCTATTAAACATCATACATTTTAAGGTATCAGAATGAAACAATTTGTCTGATATTCTAAACATATTAAAAACAAGATAAATGTACCTGACACGCAAAATTGAATTGCATACACAGCCAAGGAGCTTGCTGCTTTGCATTTATATGGCTGGTTAGCGTTCATAGCAATTCACAGTACCCTCCACCTTCCCCAGCTCCACCTGTATAGATCTGTTAACGGTTATTTTATATGCTATTTGTGCAGCAGCAGTATGTCTTAAATACTCACAACACCATATCGGCATATGTATTGGCAGTAGCAATTTCTTTTACTTGTTTTGCAGCAGCAGCAATAATCTAAAACCGCAATATCCAGCAGCAGCAATTCAGCAGCGTAGCAGATCTATTCAACCAAGACCAAATACATTTACATTGTCATATCCAATACCATGCTAAAATCTTCCGAGAGTTGTCATGATAGAAAGTTTTTTTTAATCTAATTCCATTGGCAGTTTTTTTTTAAGAACCTTTTTTTAAGAATAAATCTTTGCAGTAATGTTGGGATGCAGATACATCAATAATGCCTGTTTTGCTTGAGCATGTCACACTTTCTCATGAAATGTTTTTTTTTTTTAGCATTTTTGCTAAGGTGAAGAAGTCTTGTATTATGCTTTAATCATCAGAAAAACCTGTCTTCCTCTAAGCCCAGTTACAGCTATTTATTAAATTATCATTGATTTTCACATGTATGACATTATTTAATGCCTAATACTGATTTCACCGTTATAATTATGGCCAGTGACAGAAGAAAAAGCAAACATGAGCCACATGTTTTCTGCTATCTGTGGGTGGATGAACAGTGAGTCTCTCTCTAGATATGGCTCGGGTCTCTCCTTCAATGTCAAAGTCCAGAAGTCATACTTCTGGTCTCAATTTAGCATGGTTTTGGTCACTTAAAGGAGTAATGGCATACCTCTCTTCAAAAAGTCTTATGTTTTGAGGTATCATGTTCATCGCACAAAATTGTTACTTCGCATTTGTTCAATTTACTAACCAAAAATGTTATCATTGCTATATTTTATGTACTAAAACCATTAATTATGTTAATGTAGCTGAATTGAAGGAGCCTAGAGCTTTGAGAATACAGCAGATTTTGTCTGTTCTGTAAACTGACAGTTTGAGTAGAGATTATATGCTTGGCCTGTTCTGAAGGCTGTTGATTTGATTTGGCTCAATGAAAGCATCAGTTACGCTGTGTTCAGCATGCTAGAATGGGCTGACGGCATAGCGGACGGAGGGAGGGAGGAGGTGGAGAGGATGAATGTCAGTGAGAATAGAAAGGGAGGGCTGCATCGTCTCTCTGCTGTCATTCTTATAAATACAAGCAATGAAATCTATCAGTCAATTAGTTATTTTTTTATATTCTGCATCTCTTATGCTGTTCCTCGTCTCCATATCTCCGTCTCTTTCTATTTCTCTCTCTCTTTTTCCATCTCACCTTTCCTCTGGTTGCTGGGGAGATTGACAGCAGCGTTGTGCGGTTCCTGGAATCTCAATGAAGGGTTGTAATTCCAAAGTCAACAGAAACCAACAGGGCACCGCAATGGCCCTCAATACACCGCAGTCTGTGTGTGTGTCATTGAGAGAATATAACGGGTACTAAAGTGTGTGGGAATGACTCATAGATGTTTGTTTTTATGCGTTAGCATACCCAAACTTGCAGCAGAATGGCCAATTTATATTGCTCAGAGTTTGCTCTTTTATAGCTCAGAAGACATATGCTAATGAGTTTTTCAGTTAAGTTTAATTTAAGTAGGCTTAGTCTATTAATGCAGTGGTTCCCAACCCTGGTCCTGGAGGCACCCCAACACTGCATGTTTTGCATGTCTCCTTAATCAAACACACCTGATTCAGGTCATCAGCTCCTTAGTAGAGACTCCAAGACCCGAAACTGGTGTGTGAGAGAAAGGAGACATGCAAAATGTGCAGTGTTGGGGTGCCTCCAGGACCAGGGTTGGGAACCACTGTATTAATGCACCATGAAGGATGATAACTATTGACTAACTATTACGTTTTATTAATCATTTTAATTCTTGGAGAATAAGGAAGTTCACACCACAATATAATGGCAATGACACATTTTTGGAATAACGGTCCATTTTTTTTTTCAGCTAAAGCATCAACAGCCAATCAGAATCCATTCATTAATATAAATGAACGAATGAATAAATTTTCATATTATCGGAAGAAAATGTTATTCTTAAAATTGTGACGAATTTGATAAATGTTTGCATTTAGATTCACACAACAGCTGAAATATTTGATTAAGTACTCGAGTCGCTTGAAAAAGTATGCTAACTGCCG